GTACATATACTGCACAACCAAAAATTCTTATATGTGCAATATTTGGTTCTCGACCGTATGCCAACTGTAATGGCGAGTATTTATGATATGCACTTGGTCTAATTCGAATTAGATCATCTGCATGCAGAATAGCATGTCCTCATACCGAAGCAGGAAGTTTTGTTCTCATTATCGATGGTCTAGCTATGAGCTGCAGTCGTTTAATTAATGATTCTGCCATTTTGAGTATGAACATGTGCCACGGGGTGTTCAACATCAATTCCCACTTTCATACAATAATCATTAAATGCTTGAGATGTAAACTCACCAGCATTGTCAAGTCTGACCCTCTTGATAATATAATCTGGGAATTGAGCCCTTAACTTGATAAGTTGGGCGAGTAATTTAGCAAATGCCACATTTCGAGTTGATAACAAACTCACATGAGACCATCTACTAGAGGCATCAATCAACACCATAAAATATCTGAAAGGATCACAAGGTGGATGAATAGGTCCACATATATCACCATGAACCCTTTCCAAAAATAATGGTGATTCATGTCCGACTTTAGTATGTGATGGTCTCAATATCAATTTCCCTTGAGAACATGAGGCACATGTCAATTCATGTGTTTGCAATATCCTCTAATTTTTCAATGGATGACCACTAGAATTTTCAATAATTCTTCTCATCATTATCGAGCCAGGGTGACCAAGTCGATCATGCCAAAGTTTAAATGTTTCATTCGGCTTTGAATTGGTTGCTGCATAAGCCTCGATTATATTAATCCAGGTGTAATATAAACTCGAGGATAAAGTGGGTAATCTCTCCAAAACACATTTATTTCCCGCAATATTTGAGGTAATGCAAAGATATTCATCTCCCCCTTTATTAATAGTCTCAATGTGATATCCGTTTATACGTATATTTTTGAAGCTCAACAAATTTCTTATTGATTTTGGGGAGAATAGCGCATCATTTAATATAAATTTTGTACCTCCCATCATAAAAAATATGGCTTTTCCAGAACCCTCAATTATCTTTGCACTTCCGGATATTGTGTTTACGTTTGCTTTATTTAACTTCAAGTTAA